CACCAAGGAAGGAAGGAAAGGAGGGAGGAGAGAGGGAAGAAGGAAAGAAAGAGAGAAAAAGCAGAAAAGCATTGTGGCAAACAAACGTTTGTATTCTATACTTCTTTTCTATGCTGAGAATAAGCAGCACTAGGTAGGAAAATTGTCCAAAGCAAGAAGACATTTGGAGAACCTTACTTGACTGACACTTTGACACTATGGCTAGGTTTCATTCAGATGGTGTGGACTCCCATGCCTACCCTAACTAACTTCTGCTCCCATGACTAACATCTACCAAAATTTCACACGCCAACATGTGACTGAGAACAGAGATTCAGCCTCCATTGAAGATTACCCATCCACAGCAGCTCAACAGTCATAGAGAGTTCTAGTCTCTTAGGAACCATAGAGTTACAATAAGTTATTGACTTTACTAGAAGAAACGTGATGCCCCAAGATACAATTGAAGCAAAATAATGTATCTCCCCATTTTTGAAGCTTTGGAATAAATACGAGAATAATGCCTAATTCAACCCCTACCTCCACACACACCAGAGGTATGTCTGATATTTATTTTTCCTAGCCAAACCTACCAAAAAAAGCAGAAATAAGGGCTGGAGAGGTGGCTAAGCAGATAAAAGTACTTGCAGCCAAGCCTTATCACCTGAGTTTGATCCCCAAAACCTTCATAGCAGAAGGAAAGAAGAGACTCCGCACAGGTTGTCCTCTGGCCGTCACATACGTGCCGTGCACATGTATGTGTCACACACACACACACACACACACACACACACACAAATTGAGAAATATGGTCTATAAAACAGAAATGAGTGTTTAATTTGTGCCTGAATAAGTGAGTTATAAAATCCCAGTCAGACACAACTGAATATAATATAGTGTCTGACTCTCATTTTCAGCCTAGTCGTCCTCCCAGTGAGGTGGTTGAGCCACATGTCTTCTTAACATGCAGGCTGGGGTTGAGGAACTACGGCAGTAACCTGGGAGACAACTGTCACGTAATCACTTTGCAGGGTCCCAGTTCCATCTGCAGTCAGCCATAAGCACAGGTCCCATTATCTTCACTTCATGATTGCCATGACAATCCACATGTACTGTCCTGGGAGGGCGAAGTCTGTTCTTTTCAAGGATGCAGTCCCTGAGGGGCTACCCATGCTCCAGTAGATGGCCCTATTATGCCCATATACAGCCTAGCATCGCTGAGTAGCCTCCGTGGGGGAAAAAAACAACATGAAGTTGGAGGGAATAGTGGATCATGGAAAAACTGGAACAGAGGGAATAGTGGGTCAGCCTTGATCAAAATACATGGCATGCCTGCAAAAAGAAAAAAAACCTCAAAGAATAAAAGATAGCATGTTTTTTATTAGCAAAGCAAACAAACAAAACAAAACAAAAAAGACCCTGAATCTTATGCTGCCAAACATAAAGTTATGGCTGGCTGTGTTACATTTTCAATATGGGTTTTGCAGAGTGTACCCTCCCTATTTCCTCTCCAGTGTTCCCCAGCTTTCTGAAGCGTAGGATGAGAAGTATCTCTCACTAGAGTTCAATGAAAGAAAGCAGTCGCCTCAGTTTTGTAGAAGATTACAAGACATTCTCATGAGTTCTATACTGGAAATCCTGAACAGTGTTATTGCCTGTGAGTAGCTAATGTCTGAGCATCTCACAGGCTAGTGATCTTGGTGCTGTTGGTCAGCTGGTCTATCTGTATTCCCTGTCTACTTATCTTCCTCTTCCCCTCACACACACTTCCTGGAAGCTCCAACTTATGTACATGTCCGGGGCTCCTTTAGGACATGAACTGGCTCAGCGCTGCTCACTCACTACACTGCTCTAAAGTGGATCTCCGCTCGATGTAGTAGATTCATATAGTCATAAAAAAGAAAAAATCATAGAGAAGAAGGGAAGCCAGGGGTTAAGAGGAGAGGCAAAAGAGACAAATCAAAAGGGATCAAAGGGAGTGTGGGGTCCCAGATGGACAGGTTTAAGCTCTGGTTCTGCTAGTTAGTCTTCATGCGTTCTTGGACAAATTTCATAGCCTTCTGTGTCTTACGCCCACACTGTGAAAAGCTGGGGGTAATAATAGACACACCTCACAGGGGTTTGTGGCAGTTAATTAAAGTTCTTGGCACATAATTAGATTTCTCTAAAAATCCTACCACTATTATGATCATCACCATTGTTGTCCCAGAATAAAGAACTGGAAATCATGGAGAAAAATGTCGCCTAGGTGGCCATAACAGATCACCCCATATTGGATGGCTTAAAGCAAGGGAAATACATTGTTTTACAGTTCAGGAATTCCAGGGTCCAAAATTCAAGTATTCCTAGATCATCTCATTCAGGAGGCTCTGGGGAAGAACCCACCCCTGCCACTCACTGAGCTTCCATAATGAAGTATATCACATTGTCAGCTTTCAGCTTCTCTGCATCCCTCTTCCTTTTTCTTTCTGTGTCCCACAAAGACAATTTTACTGCAGTTCCTATCCATCCTAATTCAATATGATTTCATTTCAAACCAGGTTTTAATTATGCCTGAAAAACCCTTATTACCAGTAGACTGGGATCAACTAGGAGGAGTAATGCCTCTGACCTTGGATGTAAAGTTCATAGGCTCGAATGACTGTGTTGCATAGGTGAATAATTAGGCAAAACAGGCAAGCTACTTTCCAGGTCATCAGTGTGAGCTCATCAATACTCTCTTGTTTAAACTGTGACAAAGGTCTTTGGAGGAAAGTAGAAGACACCCAACAGGGCAGGCTACATTTGTCTGCTCCTATGTCATCTCTCCTGACATTGCTATTTTATTGTATTGTATTTTACCTTGTTCTCTGACACCAGATGATCAATAAAGACTGTTTGGATTTTGGAGCCTTAAGAAACCAGAGTGTAATAACCAGGTTCTCCAATTTCATAGCTTCGCTTACCACTTCATGGCCTCAGACAAAGTACTTATCTCCTCCAAGCTTCATTTTCCACAAAATGCCACCAACATGTAGAGTGACTCTCATTATAAAAAAACTAACACATAAAGAGATTTCACCAAAGAGCTGACATACATTTCAGAGAATGATTGCCGTTTGCCTCAGTCTATGCTGCTATAACAAAAGACCTGACACCCTAGTTATATTAAGAATAGAAGTTTGTTCCTCTCCATTCTGGAAGCTAAGGCACCCAAAATCAAGGCATCAGCAGGTACAGTGTCTGGAAGGACTGGAGCTCTATTTCCAAGACGATGCTTTATTGCTAGATTCTCCTGAGCAGACCAACTCCATACTCACTTGCTGACATAACTCAGTACTCTCCCAATGACTTAACTCAGTACTCACATGGTGACAAAAGGCCCTCTAGTCCTCTCACACATTTTCCAAGCCTATTCATAAGCACAGTGGCCTCCATCACCTACCAAATGCCCTTTCTCCTACTATCACACTAACAACCAAGTCTCAACTCATAAATTTGGAGGATAAATTCTGGCAGCCCAAGTGTCATTATCATGCTATCGTTATCCTTACAACAGGCATCACTGTCTTACTCCCTTTGAGAGAAAGATGGTCAGAGAGACCCTGAAGAAAATCTAGGAAAACTCATCAGTGTAAATCCCACCTTCTCTGCCTCTACTCACTTCCACTCCAGCACAGAGTACATAGACCAAACACTCAGCCAGTATTCATGGAATTAATTGCCATGGTGACTGCATTCCCAGTGCAAGCACCGTCTCAATGAATAAACTCCTAATAGCCTATCAGATTTGGGTCAAACCAGGACAGTCTGTGCCAAATCTCTCCCGTTCATGGCAATGAGTAGGCTGCCAAGCAAAGACAGCAGAGCAACCTGAGGCCTGTAATGTATGTCAACATTCAACAAGGCTTGAATCAAGTGCTGCCTTCATTACCCATCTCTCATGAGTGCATTTTCATGTCTCTATTTACTTTTATGTTAGTAAGTTAAAACATACTCATTGTAGAAACTGTAGAAAATAGAGTAGGCAAAAAGAATAAAATTATTCCTGACCTCCTATAATTTTTCTTTAACAATATGACATTTTCTCAGTCATGAGTCTACAACATCAATTTTAGCAGCTTTGTAACAATCCATGTATAAAGTTTCCAATATATATTTAGCCCTTACGTGAATTTACTTGGTTTTCAATATTTTGTTTCTGGAACTAAAAATACAAAGATGTGAATTTATTACTTACTAATTTTATAAAGTATCAATAAAGTGGTATTTATTGTAGCCCTGGTCCTTTTACAAAAGTTGCAATTCACCAAAAGAGTTAATCTGATTGGTTTACATGGAAATGATTTTCATATACAAACTGGTCTTCACTTAGCTTTGACTTTAGTATCTTAAGCAAGTGCTCTCTTCACCCTACTATTGTAACTTGTTCAGTAACAGGACTAATCGGGCCAGTGTCATGGGATTTGAGCTCTGTATAGGCAGACTGGTGAATTAACAGTCCAAAGTGGTTTTCTCAACTCCAAACAGCTGTGATTTAAATGATGGCTTTTAGTTTCCAAGAAACAGGGCAGAAAGCATGGCTGGAGCAACACAAATTCGTCACCACCATCCTCCAGGTGGAAAACAGCTTAGGAAAATATCTGAGTCAAATCACAAAAAAAAGAAAAAGAAAAAAGTTGAGGTCGTAGAAGAAGGACAAGGCTAAGAATGGGAGACACGAGTGTCTGAGAGATGGCTCAGGGGTTAAGAGCCCTGGCTGCTCTTCCAGAAGACCCGGGTTCCATCACTCACATGGCAGCTCACAACTGTCTGTAACTCCGGTTCCAGAGGATCTGACACCCTCACACAGACACACATGCACGCAAAACACCAATGTACATAAAATAAGAATAAAACTGGGGGACACAATTGACTGGCCTTATACCTCAACAGCTGCTTATATGCCCAGTCTGTATGCGCCCCCACTCTCCTATATGAGACAAAAACCCGGGACATCCAAAACAGAAATTGGTGGTGTTAAGCAGTGTTTTCTCTTGCAGCTGACACAGCCCTTGGCACTGACGATGTATATGACGAGAAAGGATGCCAGTGTGACGTGTCTGTGGAGGACCTCACCCCACCACTTAAAACTGTCATTCGAGCTATCAGGTGGGTAAAAACTGTGAACAAAATGAGTCCGGCACGTCTCTGATGACTTGAATTAGCGTGTGGCTGTTACTTTTTGTCAGCAGGTAAGTCTCCTGGAATAACTATCTCTGCCTGTGGGTCCAACCACATGCTTTTTAATACATGAAGTGTTTTTTTTTAATAAGGAACTGTACTGCTTTCAGCATGAAATATGTTAGAGAAGGTGGGTGGTGTTTGAAAAGGTAGACCACACCAGGAGATTGAGAAGGAACTAGTGTACCGTGTTGTATTTGTTGCTTTGGGAACATTTGGTTTATTGGTACAGCTAGATTTTTTTAATTATTTTATGGATTTATTCAATAACATGCTTCATATTTTGTAACAAAGGAAAACCCCTCTAGGCTATTTGAAATAAGCTGGGGCTCTGAACTTGGGGAGCCCTGGGGTACTCTGCAGTAATGCGTTCCCTTCTGAAAAATAATTGTTCATAGGAAATCTAAATATGCTTCTTCTACACTGGCAAAGAGCTAAGAGAGGACCCATGTTAACTCCAGCTCATGTTTACAAACCCTCATGTACAAATGAAAAATTCATAATGTAGTTAAAGAAGTTGCTGTTTAGTCTGCCTTCCCCCACTTAATCTCTGTGGGGAATCTATATCTCTTTGTATGTATTGGGCAAATGGATTGGTTTTGTGCTTGACATTTCCTACATCTTACCAAGAAGACAGGAAATCCTTAAAATATCCAAGCTAACTTAGTGTGTTCAGATACTTGCTCTAAGTTAAATATCAGTGTAATTGATCATATGCTGCTAGTTTGAGTTGGTAACTTAGCATGATGTAAGATGTGACTCTGTGGTTTTATTGGGAAACATTGGGCAAGCAGAAATTAGTTACCGGTAAATGTTTGTGGAGGCAAAGAAAGCCATGACATTATGAAAATGCCTGTGCTCCAGAAGATGTTTGAATGATCGGTATCCACAAGTTAAGCAGAAGGATAGTGAAGGTTAATTATCCTACAGAAAGGGAGCTTCCTTTTTGGCCTATACCCTACATCTTATTTTAACTATGCGTAGTGCTACCGGACTTCCTCACTGGATACCAGTTTGAGCAACCAGTTATATAGCTACCATACATCCATGGACAACCTAGAAGTCCTAGATGACATTTAAGTGAGGTGTGATAGATCATGTCTATAATCTAAGGCTTAGAAGGCTGAGACAGAGAGAGTGTGAGTCTGAAGTCAGCCTGGACTATATAGGGAAACCCCCCTTTACAAAAAAAAAGAAAGGAAAGGAAAAAAAGTAAAAGAAACTTACATGTGTATTTAAGTCCAGAAAGCTCAGACTATGTAGGGAAGTAATGTCAAAAGCCTTTAATTTAAGGGATATGAAAGTGCTAGAGAGATGACTTAGACGTTAAAAGCACTGGCTGCTCTTCTACAAGACCCAAGTTTTATTCCCAGTACCCAGATAGTGACTCACTGTAATTCCAGCTCCTGTGGGCCCAATGCCCTCTTCTAACCTCCTCAGGCGCCAGGTGCTTATGTAGAGGACAGACATACTTGCAGGCACCCATTCACATAAAATGAAATTTTTAAATTTTAAAAAGGAATGTACTATCCAATATCGAAACTACTTGTTACAAAAGGCTATTTAAATTTGAATTAATTACAATGGAAAATGATCTAAAATTGTATTGCTCAGTTGCACAATACACATTTCAAATGCTAACTTGTCAAAGGCACCCATAGCTAGTGACAACCATATTGGACAAAAAAAAAATTCAGCAGCGTTCTATCATCACAGGAAGTTGTATTGGACAATCGCGTTCTGTAAGTCACCTTCAGATTCTTATGTATTGACTATTTCCATCATAGCCTCTAACATAAAGGTCAGAGAGGTTGGTCCACAAATTCGTCTGACTGGCAACAAGTACCTTAAATCTTATCTAGGAGAAGCAGATCAGGCTCCATAAAAGTCAAACTCAACACAGTTTTGTGTCATTTCTGCAGAGCTTCTGAAACTTCCGCTTTTGCTTCACAGCCTATAATAAAAGGATCGTGGACTGCAAGAAAGAAAATGAGTTAGGTTTATTCTGCTGTCTTAAGCACTTTAGCAACAGTTTAAGATTTACTTTGCCCTTCCTGAAATCGGCTGACGTTTGTAAAGTCTTTTGTCTAATTCCCTTGTTTTTCAAAACTCTTTCTCGATCTTTTGGTTTGTTTCTGCTTTTCTTTTTCTTTTCTTTTTTTCTGTTCACTGTTTGGTATGATATTTTGTATTTTTGTTAGGGTTTTGTTTGGTTTTTAAGACAGGGGCTCATGCAGCCCAGGCTGGTCACAAATACACACACACACACACGCGCGCGCGCACACACACACACACACACACACACACACACATACACACACACACACACACACACACATAGCTAAGACCAGTTTTGAACATCTGATCCTCCTGCTTCCATGTCCCTAAGGCTGACACTTCAAGTGTCTACCGCCACACCCAGCTTGGTTCTAATTTGTATGTGGGAGTCGTGCACATGTGAGTGTCTGGGGTAGAGGGAGTCTGCACATCACTGTATATGGACAGAAGGCAGAGGAAAATGTCATATGTCCTGCTCTATCGCTGCCTTGAGACAGGGTTTCCCACTGAACCTGGAGCTGTTTTAGTTAGACTATCTGGTCAACAAATCCCAGCAAATCTCCTGCCTTCATCTTCCCCCTATCTCCTGCTGTGGGGTTACAGGCCTGAGTACAAAACATCTGGCTTCTACAAGTAGGTGCTGGAATCTGAACCCATGTCCTCATACTTGGGCAGCAAGCATTCTTACCTACTTAGCCCTGAGTCCTTATTTTTAGCTGAGCTTCTTGATTGAGGTGACTGGATTTTTTGTGGATTTTGAGGCTTTCAGTGATAATACTTGGTACATGGAGGGATATTTTTCTCCCCTCTATTCTGATTCTGCCCGGAGCTGTTTAAATCACTCCTAAATTCCATTTCAAATAATTAGATACTACTTTAAAAAAGAAAATTAAGAGTCACTAGACTAAAGAGTTTACTAACAGTCTGAATTTGCTCATCCATGAAGCATGTAAGGTACAGGTACATGATTCATAAGGTGAAGAAATACTTAACAGTTAAGTACATACACTACTGCTACAGGAAATCCACTTCAATCCCTAGAACATCAGGTGGCTCACAATGACCTAAAATTCCAGATCCAGAGGATCGGGCTCTCTCCTCTGGAGACCATGGGCACTTTCTCTCTCTCTCTCTCTCTCTCTCTCTCTCTCTCTCTCTCTCTCTCTCTCTCTCTCTCTCTCTCTCTCTCTCTCTCTCTCTCTCACACACACACACACACATGCATGCATATCATTTAAAATAAAATTTAAACTATTTTTGTAAGACACACAATTCAAAGACCACCCAATACAACTTGCTCTGCAAAGAAATTTGCAGGTGTGTGTCCCTAAATTTTATACAAAGGTGCTCTTTCCCTGAGGTACTAATTGCATAAATGAGTTCAACATAGGCTGGCTAAGAAGTTTGTCAAAGTATGCCCATCTCTTAGAACTCACCTGATATAGGGTTTTCTGTGTGTTACTGACTCCAAGTATGAGCCAACCATTATCCATCTCTAAACAAACAACTTTGCTTTGACATTTTCCTTTTTGTTAGAATATTTAATGTGGATACATGAATATGTCTTTTGTATTTCAGAAAGACAAGTTCAAATTAAAACAAAGGATAAAAAATATGCATTCTACCACAAGGGTGACAATATGAAAAATATTACTACATTCACAAACAGCAAGGTACCAATTCTTTATATTCAGTTATTAGTTTTTATTAAATGTCTCCCAACATCTCAGGAAATAAGATGACTATAACTCATACAGAATTAATTCTATTATTTTTTCTCTTTTTTTTTCATTTTATAACCCCAGGTCTCCCTCCCTCTCCTTCTCTTGCTCCCCTCTCCCCAATCCACTCCTCAGTGAGGGTGACCTCCCTTGGGAAGTAAACAAAGTCTGGCATACCAAGTTGAGGCAGGACCAAGCCCCTCCCTCCAATTACTTTATAATAAAGGAGGTTACCTATTTTTGGTGGATTTTATTTGTTTGTCGAGTTTGTTGCTGCTGCTATATTGAAATGCTGGAAATCCAACCTGGCTTCTTACACACACTAGGTGAATGCCCTACCACTGAGTCATATCTCCAGCCCTTCAATGTCATTTTTCATACTCAGTCAAATTATTAGATTATTAGACTATTCTTAGATAATTGCTAAAATATGTCCTTTACTCAAAAGATGACTTGGTTTTGTGTATTTCCTCCAAGGTTACCACAGACCTTTCTCTAAATATTTCATGTAAAGGTAATTAACAGCAAGTTGATTGATAAGCTATACAGCATTCTGCTCACTTGCCTTTGACTATTTCATGGTAAGACACCTGTTTTCCAATCACTGTATGAAAAACATCACCCATATTCTATGTATAACAATCAAGTTATAAGATTAGCCTATATTCCCAACAGCAAATGGATGTATCAGGAAACTGGAAAGCACACACCACAGAGCATTACTCAGTCATAAATGAAGAATGAAATGTCATTTGCAGGAAAACAAAAATAGATGGAACTGGATTATAGGTCAAGTGAAATAAGCCAGACCCTTAGAAAGACTGATATGGCATGCTTCCTCTCATATGCACAATCTACATTTTCAAAAAATATCAAGTTTGTAGAAGTACTATTTAAAGAAGACGAAGATCCACCAATAGGAGGAAGGGTCCAAGGGATACTGATAGATAGAAAGTGAATGTTATTAGAATGAACTGTGTACATGTATCAAAATATTATAATGAAACCATTTATTTTTGTATGGTTGATTTTTAAATGACAAGGAAGAATGAAAGGAAAGAAATTGCCATTACCTTGACATGATCTTCCATAATGCAGAGCACTGACTATTTAGGAAATTGAGAAGCTGAGTAACAGTTATGTGTTATG